TCATATTTCCCTAATTTGGCTATGTATGACTGGTGGTAGAATATAGATTAAGAATGTAACGTGAAGCCCGTTTGACAGTTTCTGGATTCTGGATTCCATCTTCAGCTTTTTCATGACATATAAATGAAGTGAAGGCGTTTAGCTCGCTATGTAGGCCACCATGTACTTTGTGACTCGTTCCCACAACTTTTGTGGGAGCTTTTTATCATAATCAACTCTTCTTTGTGCTCGGAGAAGTATGATTTCTCCATTCTGTGACCCATCCCCGTAACTTTTGTGGGACCTTTTCATCATAATCAGCTCTTATCCATGATTGGAGTAGTCTGATTACTCTATGTTTCTTTCTTGTCTATGGCGAGGTCTTTTGTGATGCTATTTGATGGAGCTTGCTTTTGCTTGTGGCCTATTTTGGACCGAAAAATATTCATCTGTCGCGGGGCTCAGGAAGCTAGCCAGTATTAATTCTAGCTTTTGGCCGATGGAGATTATTTTCTTCAATTTGGGTAGTTGGTCTTGGAATGTCACTAGTCTGACTTATTGCGGAACTTTATCTGTGTGAAAAATTCGGGGTAACACGGACGAACCTCCTTTAGTATGCTACCTGATGGTTTTTATGGGGGCCGCCCATGTTGGGCTAACCTGGGCCACGACCCATCATGCCCGCTGTCCTCCTTCGAGCGGTTAGGGCGGTTGCGAATAAAATACTAACCGCCCTTGGCAGTTCAAAAACAAATTGGAGATATCATCAAAGAATGAGAGAAGTTATCTTAAAGAGATTGTGTGATCTTTTGGACGATACGATATTCTGTTCTCTACTTCGATATTACGTCTTTTCTGAAGAATGACGTTCTGTCAACTCCCAAAGTGTACAGCGTCTCTCGAGCCTGCAAGAGGGTGCTTTTAATATGTGCAATATAAGGTACGTTCCTTTGGGTAATGTACTTTCCGATCAGTGATACAAGGTTATTCTGGGTACATTTCTTGTATGCGTTTTTTGCGTTACTCGATCATTCGAGGCATGTGTTTAGGAATTCGTTTTCGTCATATAGAATTGATATTAGGAATTAGTTTCTTAACATTGGTATTAGAGCAATGTTCTTGTTTCCTGATCGTTGAACAAGTTTAATAAACGAATTGTTGGCTGGAAATCGCGAAACGGCGCCAACGAACGCTCAAGTACAAAAAACCGACACTTGACCGTATTGTTCGGGGTTGTTCCTCGATGTTCTGTGCGATTAAATTGTTTTTTGAAAGTGTAGGGTCGTAGTTCTCGCCGAGACGAGAAGATCGACAGGTGGCACGCCGCCAGAGGAGGCCAGATATGCCTCCACACGCAGCCGGAAGGGGCTGGCTTTGTCAATGCGTGTGTGACACGCGCGAGCCTCACGTGCACGTGTAGATGTGACCGACGTCAGCCACGTTGGTTATCTGATCGGGTCGATCGACCTAGCCCGGCCAACCCGACCCGGTTGACTCGCTCGTTGACCATTGACCTTTGATCATTGACCGAATTTTAAAAAAAAAATTTAGACCGCGTAAACAGTCGCATGTGAGCTCCAATTGGAGCGTTCTTGGTAACAGTATGTGCATTTTAGAATGCTTATTATGATGTCACATGGATTACAAGTAATCCTTTTGTTCTGCATTTGTTGTAGGAATAATGTCACGTCATTTCATTCGTACGCCTATTTTCATAAGGACAGATGAACAAAGGGAGAGACTCGCTAGGCTAAGAGCTAAGTTGGCTGCCTATCGATGGGATGGATGTGACATGGTGAAACACATCATGAAGGTCAATGAGATAATACAGAATGTCATCTGGAATTGTTACCGTATATCTAACAACGAGATGATTGATGCCATGAGAAGTACTCTCCCATATGAATGGTGAGATGTGATAGATGATTTATGGAAAACTCCGGAAATCGAAGTGGTGGATAGTGAATGGGACATTGGCGAAATCCCTGTTGTTTCGAAGTATAAACAATTTGCGGTGGATTTCTTGAAAGAATACATAAGGGTTAGGGCAGTAAAGACGTCGACCCTTGGCATGAATTCATCTTGGCGTAGAATGAATGCACCATGGAGGAATCATAGGTTTTCCGAGGGCCTATCCATGGTTGCCCAATGTGACCTTAGAAGTTTGATAAGTCCTTTTCGGTTTATAGGATAGATGAGTGGCGTTGATGATAAGGGATTAGTTCTGTTACCCTTTGTAAATATTTCTTTCCATGTTGATGTTGATATTTCTTTTTATGCTGGATTTGTTATTTTGTGCAAATGGAATGTTAAGTTAATGAATGTTCAATGTTATTTACTGCTGTTATTATTATTTTATTTGCATTTCTTGTGGGAAGTTCAAGAAAGTTTTAGTAACTTTAAAGAACTTAATTTTACATAAGTAATTATATTAATAATAATTTCAAATTAGGATTCTTAGATGATGATTGAGAACATAGCGACCTTTCGACTCTAAAACCTTATGTGAAATTATTCATTTATGTAATAGGTTTGTGTAGAATAGATGCATAAATGTTAGGCATTAATTTGTGCATATATGTCGGAAATGTTCATATACAATGCATATTTGTCGTTTTAGTTTTCTTTATCTTATCTAATTACTAACAGTTGAATTTTTCCCTTTTCTTTTTGGGTTAATATCACAAAAACCCCAAACTAGTACACCTATGACTTATTTACCAAAAACAAATTTTTTGACCACCAAAAACCCCAAATTAGTACACCCGTGACAAATTTACCTTAAACTAATTTTTTGATCACGAAAAACTCTAAATTGATACATTTGTGATAAATTTACCTTCCGTTAAATTAAAATAATATCACGAAAAATCACAAACTGGTACATCTGTGAGAAACGAAGGGCAAAACCCCAAATTGGTATAGCCGTCATCTGCAATATGTCATCCAACTCAGAAATTTAACTGTAAAATTTAACGGAAATCAACGGAGGGTAAAATTGTTACAGGTGTATCAGTTTGGGGTTTTTTATGGTCAAAAGAATAGTTTTGGGTAAATTTATCACATGTGTATCAGTTTGAGGTTTTTCGTAGTATTAACCCTTTCTTTTTGCACCATAATAAAACTTCAGTAAAGTTAGTTTATTTTCTTTAGTTATATATAATATCATTTAATTTGGGTGATAGAAGGTTAAAAGTAGGAATACAACTCTTTCATCTTTGCTTGCTTTGTTTGTAGCTCTAGAGTTTAACTTTGCTCTTAGCTTTTGCAAGTGGCTATGGAGGTGAGAAATCTGTTAGTCCGCGGCTCCATTTTCTCCATTTTTTTATGGCCCCTAAACTCTTTGATAAGTCCAAATTTCAAAATCTCTTTGAAGATTTTCCTTCGCTTGAGTTTCACATTAAACATTTTCATATAATTCAGAAATTATATTAAACATGTACCAACCAAGGACTACATTAACTAAATTAAAAATTCCGAGACAATATTCAACATTAAACTAAAGTTCACGGACTATATCGAACAAATTAAAAATTTATGGACTACATTGCATATTAGCCCAAAGTTCAGAGACTGTTTGTGTTATTATTCCGAATAATAATAAACTTAAACATCTAAAGTGCGACTCCAACTACAACGAACCGTCAAATTCTATTGGAAAAAAATCTCTTCGAGTGAAAAATTGCACGAGCGAAGCTTAAAACATCAGCTTACCGACCAAAAAAAAAGAAGAAGCTTAAAACATCAGTTTTCTCTCTCTTCATCGATTGTCAGATCTCTTTGTCGCACATAATTCTAGCCTACTCAAATTTTGTTGCATCACAGAAGTGACAATTCCACAATCATGCATAATCGGGCAAAGTCACTAAACCGAAACCGCCGTGCTTAGCATTCATTTGGTTCAGCTTTCTAAATGCTATTTGGGAGAATGTAAATACTTTTAGATTAAAAAGTCTTGGGGAAATACAAATGACGTTTGGTAAAAAATACTTTGTAAACCTACTTTGTCCAAAATAGTGTTTGACAAATTTTGTTTTGCAAAAGAACTTTTGGAATTATCTTTTTTATTAAAAAAAAAACCTACCCTACCCTTCGTCGGAGCTGGCGTAGGCCTATGGTCGCCGGCGGTCATCGCCTGAGGCTGGGCAACCCAGCCGGCCGGCACATGAGGTTGAGCGACCCAGGCATCGGCCGCCTGAGTCAAGTGACCCAGGCGACGGCCACCTGTGGTCGTGCAACCCAAGCAGCAGACGGCCTCGTGCGATCCAGGCCGGCGGCACCTGGGCAGTTGCGCGACCACAGGTGGCCGTCGCCTGGGTCGTGCGACCTCGCCAGCCTCTTGCCGGCCTGGTCCGGTGTCAGCTGCCCTCGCCGACCTCCCTCGTTGGCCGCCTCACGAAGAAGATGAGCAGTAACAAGATTTGGGTTCAACATTTGTGGAATGCCGAAGGCCCAAAGCTAGTCCGGACCAGCTTTGGGCTTTCGGCATTCCAAATACTAGCATTTGGCCAATATTAGGCCGAAAGCTGAACCAAACGGGACTACAATTACACCGATGGCTTACCAGCATCGACATGCTGGCAATCCAGTCATCTCGCAAGTTCAAGTATTGTGGCACGAAGACAAAATGCCAATCTCTAAGCGGTGAATTAGAGATTCTAGGATATCACTTACACGCAAACTTAACTTATGATGTCCAATGAAAAAAACATGTCCTGTCGCCCATTATTCCGAGTATTGTATAACATGTAATTTCACTTTCCCAAATCTAAAGAGAATTTCATATATCGTTACCTATGAATATTGTATAGATGATTCGTTATTTAATCATTTGGCATGCTGATGGAACCACATTCGTGTTTTTACTCATATATCATTCCCTCCAGTAGTCAACCTGTTGTTTCTCTACATTCTACTGCCAACAGATCTACTTACTCCAACAGTAATCTAAAACTCAAAGTAAACCACGAGCATTCATTTCGCGCCATCTCAAGCCTAAAGCTGAAGGACGCGACACATCGTCACTCGAATTTTTCCACGATGCACGAGATGTCGTCGGGGCTTTTTCGGGACATGGCTTCTCTGATCAACGCCTTTGACGCTTCCCGAGCATCGTCTATCGCCATTATGGAATCTGCCGCCTCTTGATTCGACATTACCTGCAGTGGCGAAAAGCTCCAATACATGAGCTGGGAAATTTCAGTACCAGAAAGCATATAGGTATGCCCCTAGTATTTGAGAGTTGACATAAGTAAATGGATTGTCCCTTTTTCTTTTCTTCTTGCTTGGACTAATATGGAATGACGTCGAATATCCAGGGCATCAAGCGGGGTCAGTACCTTCCAGAGGCCGTCGCTTGCCAAAAGAATGAACTCAGTGCCCTTGTCGATGTTCTCGATGAATATATCCAGTTCGGATGGGATATGATCCTTCACTTTCTCATTGCCGAAAGCCCTGGTCATGGCAAGTTGTCTGTCCACCCGCGGAACGTTCCCTGCAGCATTCGGGAGCAATTAAGACTCAAAGAACTGGTAACATCGAGCATCGAGCATTAAACTTTGAATTGAACTTTGAAATACAGTGTCAGAAACACTATTAAACTTCGAACTTCTCAAGTTCGAAGGACACACCCGGTCTTTGAGATACAAATCCTCCTCTGCTTTCTACAAGTTCCCTTTCCTTTTGCGGTTCATGATCAACCGTTATCTGTTTAGCTTTGCCGTTTTCACACATGTTGGCACGAGAGTCACCTACGTTAGCTACTATCAGCTTCTCCCTATTGATCAGTATAGCCATGGCCGCAGTGGAACCTCCTCTTGAGCTGACTACGCCCTCTAAAATTTGGTCGTCCGTCTTTTTGTAGGCCCGCTTGATTGCACATTTCGGGCTTGTCCAGAAGTCCGGCTATTTTATCGGAAAACAAAAGAAAAATGTCTCATGGTTAGAGCCACAACCGTCCTTCTGTTCACTAAGCCACATACACACATACCTCACTGAGTATATTGTCAAATAGATGGTGCTGCAAGTACTCTGCAACTTTGCCGCCGGAGTGTCCATCAAAGATGGCATATAGACCTAATTCATTGCCATTGTGCTCTCTCTTTTCTGCGACGATGGAAGTCTTCCATTCCGTGGTCCATCTTTCCCTCGACTAAATCGAAACCATGAGTGACTTTGCTGCGTGATTCCTCCTGCTCATTCTCCTTGTCCACCTCATCTTCCTCATCTCCGTCATCCTCATCCTCATCCTCGTCCTTGTCATCCTCTTCTTCTCTATTGTTGTTGCTGCACGTCTGATGGATCCGGTCTGTGCCCTGTCTTCCTCTGTGATTGCATTTATTTATGGAATCTAACAAGTTATTAACAGGCTTTGGTCTAGATGGAACTGATGACCGCTCTCTAGTCATTCACCATCTATTAATCAGCACAATCTTAGATGATCAATAAAAGGACTCTTCTGGCATCGCATAAACTTGTGCCCAATGTTTTGCCTTTGGTTAAGTCTAAATGCTACACAAAGATATTATCACTGGTCCGTACAATCCTATTATAAATATTTAATGGACAGAACTTATATGATCATATGCAAAGTGTAGCTCACAATCATTCATATCTCAACAACTATTTCATTGAGTGACAAATCTTATTCCATGTAGAAGATCAAGAGTACTTTCCTCGAGTAACAAAAGTAGCAATTCTCACATAGCTTTGTCTGGTTACATCAGCTTGTATTTTGCATTGTATTATAGTGCTTCTGGTTGAAACTTTAATTTAACATCTTACCTTCAAGTGTGCTACATTTTCTTCTCCTCGTGAATCATCCTCCAAAGTGTAGTCCTCGCTCTGCAAAGCAATCCGTTTCAGAACAAGCGAACAATAATGAGTAGTCAAGAGACACCCTCATAGCATCCAGTTTTAGGTACATATTCCAGACTAATGTTTCTATTGCAAGGTTCTGTCTCACCAAGTGCAACCCTGCCGTGTTTCTACACAGAAAATATTGTGCTATCAACATAGAGGTACTCCATTCATATATGCTAATCTACATTTCTTCTCTTACTGGATTTTGGCACATGTACATGTCTTTAGCTTTTGATCCGTCAGAGTTCCATGTCGATCTTGGAACATTATGCACTTTTATCTGATTGACTCACTAGATCCTCTAAAAGCTATCCTAAGTTCTTGAAAGACTTCCATTCTTCTAAAGACTCTATCTAAGAAGCACATACACCAAAAGTAAACAAAAAAACCCAGAAAAAGAAAAACCCTAACCAAGATCTAGTAACATTGCAAAATGAGAAAATAGTGATCCAGCTGAAATACACCAAAATACAAATTGTAAGCATACAATACGAGGACATACACACCGCTCTTCTGATAGACGATTGGTCATTGGCCGTGTTTGCTCTTCTCTTCTGGTTCAAGGAGAAAAATTAAATTTGTGAGCAGCCGGACATTTAACTTGGCAAAAGTTAAAAAATACTAGCAGGTCCTATCTATATGTTAGGCTCAAATGGGTCTAGCCACACGGCACATTAAGATTATTGAGCAACCTCAACGGCATTCTGGTCACTGCATCAATCGAAACAAACAAGTGCAGGATTTTTATCAGGAGATACCTTTATCTGTCGGAACAACTCTCTGTCAGGAAAGTACACTGAACTCTGCAGTTCGAAAGGCTTCGAGTCAAGTATATGGAAATCATGAGGCATGAAATCCAGAGGCTTTGGAAATTTTCTGAAGGTTAAGCTTATCATCATTATAAGAAATTGTCAGACCGAAAAAAAATCATTATAAGAAATTGAAATCCCAGATGCAAAGGCGCTTTTTGGTCTGATAATTCGTGAAATTTATCTACCAGCATCTTCATCAAACCCTCCACCTCAGCCTCTACAAGCTCCCCCCTCCTTTATTAATATACTTAGATTGGCTAAGTATAAATCTAAGTATATACGCAAAATAAAAACAGAAAAACGCAGAGAACCAAGAATTTGACAGACTATGAGAAGGCGAAAGACCATATGCCAATAGATATCGATATCGCCGTGCGCAAAGGCTGATACAGCGAAGACAGCCCGAGGTGGTGCATAATCCAAGGCATATAGTAAATAAGGCTGGTAAGGAAGGGTATCCATAAATGGGTGAAAGAGGGTGCGAGAAACCGAACTCAGAACCCTCTGACTCTGATATCGTGATATAGCTTTGATCCCGTGAGTGTCTGTTCTAAAAGTTTTAACTATGATTGCATAAGTCAATGGAGAACGAGGCAGAGCACAAAATATGTAGCTTGAATTCTCTTTAACTCGTGAAGTTCCAACATCATGGGAACTTGAAGTAATACTGGGAATGCGAGAGAAGTGAGTATATGGTATACCTTCATCGTTTGCAGACAGTGAGAAGCTTGAGCTTGGCCTTCCCTTCACTGTTACGGTATAAACACCACTGGGAAAGAACGGGTCTGGAACTTGTTGGGTGCTCGCTCAGCGACACAAGTCCCCGAACACAGAGTGAGAGAGAGAGCGACACACACGTGGTGATTGGTGGTACTTTTGACGGAGTGTGAACGTCGCACCGCGCACTTGGGGAAGAGTAAGTGTCGACGGTTGCATGGTGAAGAGCCCAGAGAAGAAGCAAGGAGGAGGTGGAGCAGGCTAGCAGCAACCCTAAACGCCGTCGTTTTTTAAGAACTGGATGGGAGATTGTATCTAGAGTCATTCGGCGAATATAAAGATTACCGAGCTATAAACATTATTGAACGGCCCTAAAAAATATAATAGATGCGAAACTTGCCCACATGGGAGAGCGCGCTTTATTGCTCGGGGAGATAAACCAGTCGAGATGTGCAAAAGCTAGTCTTGACACCACTCGACCGCTTAAAAAAATAAACAAAGGATCATTGACTGCATACCATTATTACTAATAGAGATTGAAAAGTTTTTCAATGTTACTTTGTTGGGTAAACCACATAGGGAAAGGACATTACCATGAGTTTCGTACAACACTTGGTTTGGTACTATAACTTTTTGAAATAAGTGTCATAAAAACTTTTAAAAACTGGTTACTAAAAGATATATTTGATTTGTCTTACTTGAAAATCTGACATGACACTAATTTAATATTGAACAAGAAAATTGCCGATTTATCTTCTTCTTTTTTTAAAAGGAATAATGACACATAAATGAACTCTCAAAGGTTATGGTACTAAAGTGCGTACTGTGAGAAAGTTACAGCACTATTATGTCCTTATCCCAACAATTAACAAGCATATTGAGAGATTAGCCCTTACTTAAATGTTCCAACTTGCATTAGTTATATATGAAAAGCTATTGTTAAGGCTGAGACTTAGCATATAAAAGAAATTCCAGCTATTAATATAGTTACAGCTAATCTAATATATCATATTAAAAGTGACTTTGTATATTAAATAGGTTACATTTTTTTTTTGGTCGAAATAGGTTACATTTTAAAGAGGCAATCTCTTCTCTTCCAAATGAATACTCAAGAGTTTTTTCAAGAAAAAATAAAGTTTAGAGAAAAATCTCTTGACAATAAGTAGTACAATTGTCTATATGATTGAGCAAATACTTTTCAAAAAAATAATACTACTATTCTTTTAAATTATTAACATAGTTATAGATATTATGTCTATTTAGTAATATAAAAAAACATCGAGTGGTAAAATTAATTCTCCGAGAATGTGAAAGTAATTTTTTTATACCTTCACATAAAATTGATTCGATTATGAATAATATGAGATGTGATATATCTATAGAAAAAGTCTACTCATCTATTTATAGAATAATATTGAGAGAGAATGACTTTGTCACTTGTAATATAAAACACCATAATTAGTAAATAGCTTTGACTTCCATCTTATACAACATGTACCAAAATACAATTTTAGAGTCAAGGTTAATTAGAGAACAATAATTACTCATAACGGAATTACCAAAGGATTGAGTCAAATAAAATATAAATAGTTTCTGATAAATTCATTTTTTTTTTTGTAAAAGATGATGTATAGATGTTTGGTATGTGTAGAGTGAATTTATATATAAGGCAAATGAATCCATGATATTCAGTTATCTCCTAAATGATATATATTATCTTCAAAGTAATATTTTTTTTAACAATTTCATGATTATTATCGCTGCTATAACTCTAAAAGTTACTTTTTTTCAGATCAGTTTGATGGGAGAAATTTTAATAAATATAAATTTTCAAATAAAAGATTGTATAATTGGAAAATATACTGGTAGTTTTGAAAAGTTACTGGCCACAGTGAAAAAAGTGATTTACGCAATGTTATCACCTTCTTACTTTACTATGTTGAAATTTGCTGGTCATGTGGAAAACTTACTAACCGCTTAGCAGAATGAACAATTCCCCAATGTTGAAAGTTACTTTCACTTAACATAACTAATTGATTTATCATAAAGTTTACTAGTTAATCATGAATAAGTACATAATATATTGAAAAATTCACTTTTTCCATTACACAGTCACTAGTCGCCTGGAAAAGTTACTAATTTCCATAGGTTGCAAATTACTTTTCCTCTTTGAAACTCTGTAATTATTTATTGAAAGTTACTATAAACAAATATCTATAAAATTACATATTGGATTTATGCATAGTCTAACTGCACCTTGAAAGTTACTTATTTCACTTATGTGAAACTTACTTTTGCATGCATTATTTTCTAATCACCTTGAAGATTTTGTATCTATATAGACTTATGCTTTTGGCTTTTTAATTAATCCAAATTTTGCGGTGGATGCACTTTAACTCTTTTTTAACCCTTAAAACATAAACCTTTCAAAATATATAATTGTTGCCACATAGATTTACATATATATTTTTTAGTAATTTTTGGAAATTTAATTAGAATTTTAAATTTTGAAGGAAAGAAAACCTTTTACATAAACTTAATGCTATATAAAAGGGATAATGATTCAAATAGTCATTGACTTGAACTTAATTTGCAATATTGTTCATGAACTTTTAATTTTTTCAATGTAGTTCCTGAAGTTTGGTCTAATGTATAATGTGATCCCTAAACTATTAATTTGTTCAATGTGATCTCTGAAATTTTAGTACATATTTAATGTAATCCCTGAACTATATAAAAATATTCAATATAGTCCATGTACTTAAATTAATGGAAGGAATTCCGACAAAAAAAAATTAATAGAAGGACTACATTGAACATTTTCATATAGTTCAAGAACTAAATTGAACATGTACCAAAAGTTCAGTGACGACGTTGAACAAATTAAAAGTTCAAGGGCCATATTGCATATTGGGTTAAAGTTTAGGGACCGTATTGAACAAATTAAAAGTTTATGGACCACATTGCACATTGGACCAAAGTTTATGGACTGTTTGTGTGATTTTTCCTATATAAAA